ATTCCTGCATTGTAGGGGGTTGGAGTAGATGACCCTTGTGTCAATTCTACTATGCTGTGATGTCATTGTATTGGAATAAGAATTAGTTCCCAGATCAACATTGTAGCCACTGGAACCCTTGCTGTATCAATTCTCATTTACACCCCTTCGATGATGATGATATAAATATACCTTTATTGTCATTGTACAACCTGTGTACAATGAAATTAAACGAGCCTCCCTCCCTCCACAAAACACTCAGTCTGTTATCAAAAAACACACCACCTCGCAAGTCAATTTTGCTATGTTATTTTTTGTTCAACAGCCTAACAGCCCATGGATAGAAGCTATTTTTTAGCCTGTTGGTACAGCTGATTATACTTCTATATCTCCTGCCCGAGATATAGGGTAGAAGATTAAAGAGGTAATGGCCGGGGTGTGAGTCATCCCTGAGAATTTTTCTCACTCTCCTAAGGCAACGATCCCTTGCAATGTCATCTAGCAGACTCAAGGGACAGCCGATGATATCATGTGCTGTATTCACCACCCTCTGTAGAGACTTTCTGTTTGTGGCTGTCAGGCCAGCATACCACACTGTGATACAATATGAAAGGACACTTTCTATTGTGGACCAGTAAAAGAAGTTCATCAGTTGTTGTTTAACATTATTCTTTCGCAAGACCCTGAGGAAATGGAGTCTCTGTTGGGCCTTTCTGACCACCTGAGTTATGTTGATTTTCCAAGTGAGGTCCTCACTAAGGTAAACTCCCAGTAAAATATGACACATTTTACTGTATTGTATGGCTTGGTTAAGTCTCCATCGCTTCCTGAACATTGCAGGTTGGGATTGTTAGAGGAGGGGGCAATGTGATCAGAACTCCACCCCCTCCCAATGACCCGAAGATTTCCTGGATCTGGTCCATTGTATGTAGATTGGATCCCTGCATTCCTCTTGCCTTTATTGACAAGAGATGCTGGGGAATTTGTGCAAAATCTGCTTTAAATATATGATATATGCATTCTGCTTGAAAAACATATTGATGTTGCCCCATTTAAAAATGATTAGAAATTAATTTTTTCCTTTGCAACTTTGAATGCCATTTACTGAAACAGAAAGTGATTTTGACTTTCTGATAGTCAAAGGGGAAAGTGCTGAATAAACCCATTATCTTTTGTGCCTGTGTGTGTGTGTGTGTTCTTCCATTCGCTTTGATGTACAATAAATAAAAAATGAACTGACAGCTCGAAAATATGAAGACACCCTCTCGTTGTCACTCAGCATTCTTACAAATCTGATCCACTTGTGCTGTGTAAGCTGTAGGCGCCTTTGAAGTTGGAAAATGCTACCACAGGATCTCATAGCATTGGTAATTAAGACATAGTGTGGCAAATCAAAGGAGACGTGCTACCAAGTATCCACAGTTCCTTCCTTTAACGAAAAAAGGAGGAGGGGGAAAAAGCAAGCTGGAAGTCATGATAATAAATCAATTGGCTTTGCCTTTCAGGAAGAAAAGACCTGTAACTTGTTACATTATAACTCAATCCCATCTTCTGTCCGAGATCAATTCCCCTTTTCTTCATGCTTTTTAATCTTTGCATTTATTTTTTCCTTAATTTTTTCCCCTACAAAGGGAGGCTAATATTACAGCCTTGCAAAAGGAAGATATACCTTTACACTAGAGAGAGGGTGAGTGTCTCCCCCCCCATCCCTCCTCAGCTATTATTCTCTCTTTCCCCCTTTGGTCACCGTCGTTGTTTTCCCCACAAATCTAAAAGGTTCTGCCTTTGCCTCCAAGCTGAGCAGGCAAAACACAGTATATAAAAGGATTATTAGTACAACTGGTATCATAACACATTAGAGCCCCAGGAGCCTTGTGTTCTAGTTAGCAAAGACTCCCTTTCCGTGTCGTAGCATATGAAAATATATAAACTATGCAACATTCTTTCCCTTAAAGACAAATGGATAGAGGCTCTAATTGGAAAGATTTGAAAACTACCCTGCTACCTTAATCTGCTTACTATAGATAAACTGCTCTACACTGGCATGGATTTTCAGATAAGGCAAAGTAAGAGATTTCATGAAAATGTTTGGGGCCTTTGTTTTTTCTCCATCTCTGCAATTTTTTAAGAGTTTGTTTTTGCTCCTAGACAGGTAGTTGCACTGGGAGCTATAAAATATAAAGCAAGGGCTGAGGAATAAACATCTTCAGGCTTAACATATAAGTAAGATGTAATATAAAAAGATATCTCAAAGTACTGAGAACATGATGCTGCCTTTCCTTTTATATTTATATAAGGGGAAGGTTTGTAGCTCATGGTCAGAGCATATGTTTTGAATGCAGAAGGTCCCAGGTTCAATCTGAAGCATCTCCACACAGGGAGTGTCTCCTGTCTGATAACCTGGAGAACTACTATTGATCAATGCAGGCAATACTGAAGTAGATGGACCAATGGGCTGATTCAGTATAACATAGCTTCTTCTGTTCCTGTATTCATCTAGGGACACAGGTGGCACTGTGGTCTAAACCACCAAGCCTCTTGGGCTTGACGATCACAAGATCAGCAGTTCGAATCGGCGTAATGGGGTGATCTCCTATTGCTTTGTCCCACCTCCTGCCAACCTAGCAGTTCAAAAGCATACCAGCACGAGTAGATAAATAGGTACCACTGCAGTGGGAAGGTAAGCAGCGTTTCCCTGTGCTCTGGCACTCGTCACAGTGTCCCGTTGCACCAGAAGCGGTTTAGTCATGCTGGCCACATGACCCAGAAAGCTGTCTGTGGACAAATGCCAGCTCCCTCGGCCTCAAAGTGGAGATGAGCGCCGAACGCATAATCAAATCCTACTGGACTTAACCATCCAGGGGTCCTTTACTTACCTTTACCTTTTTTATATTCGGCTGTTTCTAGTATACCGGTGAACAGAATACTGATGTGATGAGTCTTTTCTCCATTCACTCGATGCTGTTGTAAGTTCCTCTTTCTTCTTCTGGCTAGCAAACTGATCTACATCCAGTGTTCTTGATGGGATGAGCTTGCAATGATTCTGTGTCAGGCACCTGGCTGCAGGAGTTTCCTCCCTACCCACGAAGTAGGTGGTAGTGATCAAGCAGCTGAGAAAACAATGTCAGAATTAATACAGAGAGTTTGCATGAGTGCTGTGAACTCTATATTGAATCCATCTTCAGCCTTCATTTGCACTAGTGTCCATTCAGACTCAGAATTGGTCTGAGAAAAGAAAGTACTTTTTCTTTTTCAAAACTCAGAACCTAGCTCAGTTTATTGAGTAATTGGGAAGGAGGCAGAAGGAAGGACTTCTTTGGTTCAGATTTCATTTTGAACTGAAGAAGAACTTTCCAGAACTCTTTGAGGTGACCATTGAGGTTTAATATTTCTAACCTCGTGGAATATAACATTCTGCAACATTGGTCATTTGCCTTGCCTTCAGAGTAATGATATTGCTAAATATCTGAAACATCCCATGAAAACATGGGACTGATGCTGAAAAGAGTGTCCCTATGTTCAATTTTCCCATGCATGCCAATGACATAATGATGACCACTATACCTCTACCCACGATCCCTATCATTGAGCTGGATCAAGCTGCACTAAGTTAAGTCCCATTTATTTCAATGAGTCTACTCAAAGCATCGCTATCTCTCAGTACAATTCATTGACTGTGCCAGGTAGGAAGAAATGAAATGTCACAGCACAGGTTAAGTCACACAGGTTAAGAAAGAACTATACCAATAAATTCTATTTTATCCATGACCCCTTTTCAAATATATGGTAGATGGATACACTTCCGTTAGATATGGCAGTGAAAGAGAAGCCTCCTGCTCTTCAAAACCCTTTAATGGTTTGTTTGTGGTGCAGGACATTGCTATCATGGTTTGAGGATGATCCAGCACTAAAGCAGAGTGTTTTGTTGTTGAAGGAGAGAGACATGAAACACTCTTCCTTAGTCTAACAGTAGTTAGGGAGATATATCTGTATTTCATTGGCTTGGTTCCTAAAATAAGTTCACAGGAGGGATGCTTTCTGTCCCCTTATCTGACTTGCAGCCAGTAGCAGATGGAGGGATTGCGTGGAAGAGGGGCGGCTGTTTATCAGGAGGGAGAGTGGGAAGGGCAAAATAACAGAGATGTCAGCACTGTGGAAACCTCTCAGCTGAAAGGCAAAAAACCCCTACTTGGCTCCAAAGGCAACTAGTTATGGGAAGGAGTGGGTGCCACAAAAGGCTGAAAGAGGCCATAAGAGGGAGAAAGCAGGGCTCCAATAGGCTCTGACCTGCGCTGCCCCCCATGTAAGCATTACATGAGGGCACACAGATCACCTAAAGCCATGCCAGGTCTAATTGCTGGTGCAGCTGCAAACTCCCAGTGCTGCTGGAGTCCAGTACACTCAGTAGGGAGTAGGGAGCAGAGAGGTCTTACTTTTGTTTTCTTTGTTGATGCCTAAAAACGCAATTAAAAATATTTTCAAAAACATCAAAGGGGAAAAAAGATCTTTTATCAATAAACTCATTAATATCAATGAGGAGAAAGACAGCTTATCATTGAGTCATTGTCTGGCAACTGCTCAAAATACTCCTAAGAAAAGGAAGCATATTGGACACGCACCCACACATTTTGTTCTAAGTGTAAAGGAAACTGTTTTATGCAAGGAACTGTTTTCTTTTTCTTTTTTAGTTAGTGGGCAGTTGTTCTGGAAAAGAAAGGAAATCATCCCACCTGTTTGTGGCCAATTTGCGCAGTGCAGAATTTGAGAAACGATAAGTATATTTTGGCGTGATTCACATGACATGGTAAGCCATGTGGACTTGTGGACTCTGGGAGAGGAGCTCACAACTGCTTTGCTCCCTCCCCCCCCCCCAGCCTTTGATTTACCTGTGCTGTGCTGTGCCATGTCAAAGTTTGCCTTAGTGTATCCTCCAAACCTGGGCTTATTGTTAAGCTCTCTCCTCACCAAACATGGCACTTAGAATAGGCTAAATAAATCCTCTTTGCTGCAGATCCTTCAGCAATACCAGCTGGGCACACCTTGGACATGCCTGATCTCATCTGATGACAGAAGCTAAGCAGGGTTCGGCCTGCTTAGTACTTGGATGGGAAAATGCCTGGGACTACTAGATGCTGTTGTAGAGAAGGGCTACAGCTCAGTAGAAGAGCATCTCCCTTGCATTACATACACAAAATCCAGGTTCAATCCCCAGCATGTCCAGGTAGGGATTGGAGAGACCCCTCTCTGAAAACCTCGAGAGCTGCTGCCAGAAGGTAGACAATACTGAGCTAGATGGACCAATGACCTGACTCAGTAAAAAGTGAAAAGTGAAAACCCAAGCCATTGGTCTCATATGTTTCTTCCTGGGGTGTGTGGGCAGCTCCTCTGTGTCATTTGAGAAGAGCATTACACATAAACTACTACTACTACTACTAATTTTTTTTTTTTATATCCTGCCCAGCCACTCTGGGCAGCTCCCAACAGAACATTAAAAATACAATAAAAGATCAAACATTCAAAACTTCCCTAAACAGGGCTGCCTTCAGATGTCTTCTAAAACTCAGACAATTGTTTATTTCCTTGACATCTGATTGGAGGGCGTTTCACAGGGCGGGCACCACTACCTAGAAGGCCCCATGCCTGTTTCCCTGTAAGCTCACTTCTCACAGTGAGGGAACCACCAGAAGGTCCTCGGAGCTGGACCTCCGTGTCCGGGCTGAATTATGGGGGTGGAGACACTGCTTCAGGCAGTGCTTTTTTTCTTCAAAATTTTTTTTTACGGTACTCTCATTTTCCTACTCATATTGAAATACTGCCCCTCAATGAGGCCAAACTTAGATTCACAAAATGCATAGGGGTATGCGTACCCCTGAGTTCCCCCCAAAAGAAGCACTGCCTTCAGGAATACTGAGCCGAGGCCATTTAGAGCTTTAAAAGTGTGACATAGACTGGTTCCTAAAATATGATCTCTAGCAAAGGGTGGTCAATCTCCAAAGAGAAACAAATGCATCATCCAAAATAAGACAGAGATTTGCACAACATTTCCATATGCTAATACTCATATAGCTGTACATTTAGAAATGATTGCAGTAGAAATGGCAGACATCTCACCATGGTCTGCAGGACTGTGACTAGATGACCTCAATCTGCTGACCTGGTGTTGTGCATTTTCAAGATTTTTCAAATCGAGAACTGTCCTCTGTAAAATAGGACAAATGGTCACCCTAATCTAATAGGTCCTGTTCTTAAAATACTTCTGTTTAAATTCATGAGAAGAGAAAGATGAGCCCAGAAAGATTTTTTTTTTGTTCTGGTCTCCCGATTATTTTCTTCCTATTTTGCAGTGTGTAAACTTTGCTTCCAACAAATACCCACCATTTTAAATTAACTTGCCTTTTCTTCCTTAGATTGTAAGCCAGCGTGTGCATCTCCCGCAGAGAAGTAACATGATGGGTGTTAAATCCAGCAACACTCCTTGCTCCCAGAAGAATATATTCATAAATGTTTCCCACCCCAGTGATTCATTTCAATTCTGATATCAAATAGAATCTGCTTTGCACCTTAGGCTGTCAGATATATACGATGATCTTGGGTCTGAATTTAAAACCCATCAGGGGAATGGTAGAGATAACACCACTCTCACTACAGGTTGGGGAGACAATATAAATCGCTTTGGATATTGAAGTGGGCCACTGAGCACTTGGATAGATTTCACTTTGCGCTCTCAGTGATGCAAAGAACCAGATGTCAAAAACATCACAACTGCTGCAGCACTGCTCCTTCCAGACCAGATGTCTGTAAATGTTTTTGATTTATCAATGTACGTACTTGTAGATGTTATATTCAGACATTTGCACACAGGCTGATTAAAGGGGAAACATGTTTTTTTTAAAAAAAAAACAACCACCAAAAAACACACACAAAAAACAAATCACACCTATATTTAACCTCCAGAATTGCCAATGATTCATCAAACAGCTGTGAAATGTTTGTCAGAAATAGACATCTTGAGGAAGTTCATCCAAGTCTTAGAGTACAATCCCAAAGTGTCTGCTCAGAAGTAAACCACAGTGAACTCGCTCTTAGAAAAGTAAATATTGGTTAGTAATCTTAAAGCCCTATTTTGCAATCAGGAGATTACATAGGACTCATGTCTGTGCCCCATCTTAATTGGTAGAAGCCATTCTAGTTCATGTTTGGAGTAACGATTCACTGTGCTGTTGTCATGGTTCAGTTCTGCCCAGACCTGGAACCTGAGGTCTACTAAGACAAGAAGGAGAGTGAGGGGTCAGATCCCCCTCCTCCAGCAGGTCTCCTTGCTGCCAATGATCCTGAAGATCCCGCTGAATCTAGACATCCCTGTCCCAGGACTGCATGTCAGAACAATTGCATCATGGGCCCTCAGCTCTTTCTTAAAAACTGGACAATTCCCTTACCAGATAGTGCTCTGCTTTGGTCATTTTTGCAGAAGATTGTTATGAAACTTATCACTATTCAACTTCTGGCACACCAGAATAGCATCAGCTAGGGAAAGAATGACGTATCCAAATTTCTGTCCACAATAACCTTGTCAGTAGTTTTGAACTGAGGTTTCCTTACTAGTCCAGGATCTGTCCCCAAATGCTGAAACTAGCTGATGGCCCATGCTCATATACCTTGATTTATCTTGTATCAGAGAGGCTCTATGGCAGCTCAAACTCCCTGTATTCACAATGCAGGTGAGCTAGGTAAAGCTGATTTCAGATGACACTGGACAACGATGAATGGCAGGTCCAGTTGTGGGAAATTGCAGTCAAACATAACTATGCATGAGTGTTAGTTAATATGTAAAGGGCTTAAGAGTTAGATTTCCAGACTCAGCTAGGTCACACACCCTTCTTCTCTGATGAGGAAATGAAGCCTTCTCTTCCTGCTCGCTGCCTCATGTAACTGACCAAGGAAGATGTGCCTAAGCAAGTTCCAAGCTTATAGCACGTGTTTGAAACTATCTTTCTGCATAATATTTTTCTGCCTGTGATCTTCTTGCTGCTGCTTGGATAAATGCATGAACCTGGCCTTTGAAACATTTTGTAAGTAAAGCATTTTAAATGTACTTAACAATGTGTGGTCTGTTCATTGCAAGAGGAATAGAAAGAGGGGAGTGCTTTGTAATCAGACTAAAGGGGATATGCAGAAAGTTTAACAGCCTACATTCCTAATGCTTCATTGTGCTGCTTGATTTCATGAGTTAAATCTCTGCAACTGTGGGTCACATGGATTCATATTTTCCTCCCACACCAGTGACCTTCAAGTGGGATGGGGCCACTATTATTCATGTAGTTCAGTCATCACTAACCAGTCTATTTATCAGATTCAGGCCTGTCAAATCGAGCCTGCACCACTCTAATATATTGCATATGCTGGCAGAGGGCAGTTTGCAGCTGTGATATAATGGGATCACAACAGCTGGGTTGATGCAGTTAGTGAGAAACATCCTGTCCTTATAGTCAAATGACATTTCTGATTAGGGTAGGTTTATGTACTTGCCTAAAGGCCTTGCAGAGATGTTGATGTTGGTACAGCGGTACCTCGGGTTGCATACACTTCAGGTTACAGACTCTGCTAACCCAGAAATAGTACCTTGGGTTAAGAATTTTGCTTCAGGATGAGAACAGAAATCGTGCTTCAGCAGTGAGGCAGCGGGAGGCCCCATTAGCTAAAGTGGTACCTCTGGTTAAGAACAGTTTTAGGTTAAGAACTGACCTCCAGAATGAATTAAGTTCTTAATCCAAGGTACCACTGTATGTGATTCTGCAATATCTGTGGGTTAAATCAGAAAGCAAAAGGTGCCTAAGAAAACTATGCTGGGTAAAGTTGCTGCATGGTAGAGCTGGGGAACGTGTGGCCCTCTAGATGCTGTTGGCTTACAGCTTTCATTATTTCTTACCGTTTTGATGGAGTTCCACAACATCTGGTGTGCCCCAGATTATCCAACCCACCTTCATAAAGGGGATGCCTTCATATAGTGTTGGTTGCACTGGCCTATTTATTCTGAATGTTTGTACAGTGGTACCTTGGGTTACATACACTTCAGGTTACAGACTCCGCTAACCCAGAAATAGTGCTTCAGGTTAAGAACTTTGCTTCAGGATAAGAACAGAAATCGGGCTCTGGAGGCACGGCAGCAGCAGGAGGCCCCATTAGCTAAAATGGTGCTTCAGGTTAAGAACAGTTTCAGGTTAAGAACGGACCTCCGGAACGAATTAAGTACTTAACCCGAGGTACCACTGTATGTGATGCCAATAAAGGTTTGATGATGATGATGGTGATTTCCATATAGCGTTGGTGCTCACTACTGCATTGTTGTAAAAGTTTTGACTAATTGATTCTTGTGATTCTTAAGCAGATCTTTATTAATAACATCTAGTAACATTCTAAGCCAGGTATAGGCAAACTCTGGCCCTCCAGATGTTTGGGACTACAATTCTCATCACCCCCAGCTAACAGGACCAGTGGTCAGGGATGATGGGAATTGTAGTCCCAAACACCTGGAGGGCCAGACTTTGCCTATGCCTGTTCTAAGCAATCACACACACATTTTGTCTATATGCTCTCTCTCCTCGCATCTCTGCATCAAATACTGAACCTTCCTCAGGACAAACTTCTTGAAATATAAACTTATAGTTAACACAATACAACAATGTGGAACTGGTAGAAACTTATATTACTATAAAAGCGTTAGAGCATCTGTATTCTTGCCTACTCGTTATTCTTAGCTGAACACAAGATAACAGGAATGAAATGCTTTGTGCACAGTCCTAATAACACAATTTTCTTTGGAAAGGGATTAATAAGAAAGAAATGTTACGGAGAAAGGGAGGGGGTTTGAGGCACAGAGGAAGAAACAAACATAGCGCATGAGAGTGTTCTGAGAATGTGGATTGTTCTCCCACACACACACTCCCCATCACTGAAATAGGGAATTGTTTTCCACAGATCCTACTGCTCTTGTAATCATTTCTCTGCTAATTATATTGCTACCTTGGTGAGCTTGATAAACTAGATGTTGGTAGGACTAAGAAGCATCTACAGCAGTGGATTTTCTTACAGTTTTCCAATTTCCAACTGCTTGGAATTAAATGTTCCCAACAAAATACCCATG